CACCAATGGTCACCTCCACCTGCCTGCTGCATTTCCCAGTGGGAGGTTAATGTGGATGCTTCACTTCCCAATAGGAAGGTCACAGCGTCCCAGGTTCCTCATGTGTGATGCAGCCACATTGCTGTGAGCAGCTATGCACTCCTGAGTCAAGGCTTTACCTATCTGTAAAGCAATGCTCTGCCAGGATAGTCCGCAACAGCACTACCTTCTCACCTGCTTTCTGCTGCCCAGGGCAGCTCTCCTGCATGGGGCACCACTCAATTCTGCAGGACACGCAGCACAGTGCACACAAACCCTATAAAAGCTCATTGGGGCTGGAACTCTTCTTAATCAGGTCTAGCATGAGTGGCAAAGAGAACTACAGAACAATCTAGGCAAGCAAAAACCCTTCTCCTAACCAGCACTGGGACTACAGACTTCTGACGTGAGGCTGCCCCTCCCTTCTGTATTTTAAGTTCATGTCCTGCTCACCAATGAAGCACAGCCGTGTCCTTCACTATTACTTTATGACTGAAAGGACTGTAATTTCTCTAGAAGATGCAGTGATCCCTTTTACTTACAAGGTCCTGCTAAAGTCAAGAACACCACAGAGCCCTGTATGCTGGGAAGCATCACAGACATACCACGTGCCTTCTTATAGAGGGCTGCTGTACTCACGTCAGAGCAAGCTCCACATCCTGCAATCCAGTGCAAAACTCAGCTATCATTCCAGCAGCAGGGAGATTCCCCTGACCAGCAAGGGCTGCTGGAGGGGAACCAGCTGGAGAAGGACACACAGGCAGCTGAAGGGCTGGGAGGGCTTGAAAAGGAGACCTGAAGGAAACAAGCGTGAAGCTCAGGAACACAGCTCTGTATGCATTCTGCCAGCCAGAAACAAGCAGGCAGTCTGCTGAACAGTCTGAGGATCTAAAGGAGGTTTAAACGAAATCAGCACTTTGCACGAGCTGAGGCTACTTTTGCAACTAGGGCTGAGGCTTCATTGGGTACTGGAGTCCACCATCTAATGCAATGGGATAGAAAAAGCAATTAAAACAAGGCAGGTGGCTGCAGACATACCAGGTGCTCTCGCTGACAGAGCATGAAGCAGAAAAGGAACACAGGACGGATGTATTGCAGCCAAACACAGTTACCAAAACACACCTGGCAGAACTACAGGCTTTTCGCTTGTACTACGGCAACCTGACTCAAAAAGCCTCTGTTCAGTGAGGGTAGGTAGAATTGTGAACTAAAAGCTTCCTCTTGCTTCTAAACACCTATTTAAAAAGAGTAATTAGCATCATTTTCCAGAGCCAGGTGTTTTAGCACTCAACTCATTAATCTCAGAGCAAGACAAAGGACTCTGCCTGCACTTGGCTTCCATCAGTGCTCACCCTGGCACTGGGGCTGCAGGTAAGCACCTGGAAGGGGAGGATGCATTTTAATGCAGCCTGTGACTGAATGCAGGGGACAGTAGGCTGCAGTGTGACAAGGGCAGGATAGGATTTGCTACAGGGCTGCTGCTACCTTTATGTCAGCATCTTATGATTTCTGAAAACAAAACCAGGTTTGCATTAACTGGTTCTGGATGCAGATGTCACTAATCTTGATGAATCTTAAAAAAATCTATCTGCAAACAAGGTTTAAGTCAGGACCTTACAGACAGGATCATGAGGCTCTCCAGTCTCCGCCCATACCCAGGTCTGAGGGCACAGCTTTCTTTTCCTTGAATTCCAGACGACCACAGTACTTCAAATCACTTAAACATCTCCATAAAGGTGTCCATGCCATCATGCAGCCGTGCTTCCATTTTTTAATTCACAACCAGTTGGCCCATGGTGGGAGACCCCACAGACTGCAGTACAACACCTGCTGGCCACCAGCAGGCAGCACCATCCTCCTCCTGCCAGCCCCAGCTCCAGCACTGCTGTGGGCAAGAGCAGAAAACTAGTTTTATTTCTCTTTTAAGGATTAGTTTTTGGCTGAAGCAGCACCCAACCCAACCCACGTAGTACCCAACTAATGCCAAGATCAGCACACAGGAGCCCCAGCCCCTAGGGGCAGCCTTTGGGGACAGCACATGGAGGAAGGTGGCAAAGAGTTTGTGTTCCTGCTAATCAGGCAGCTGGGCTGCTCTACTTGGCAGCACCAAGACCTGCCAAAAGACAGAGGTGGGCAGAAAACCTGGACTTCAGCTTACACCCAGCTTGTGTATTTGCTTTACTATTTCTGGTGTGGAATGGAAAACAGGAGTGTCCTCTTTCCAGGAAAAGCCTGAATTATACAGCAGGAATTTAACTGTGCTCTTGAATCCATTTTGCACTCAGTCACCAGTGCCAAAAAAAAAAAAAAAAAAAAACTCAACAAAACAGTAATTTGTTCTTTTACTGTGATGGAAAAAAAACTTTCACATGAGTAAAAGAAAACACTGCTTAACAGAAATCAGAGCAGATAGGAAATCCATAAAACATCCATCTCCTGCATGTTAGCCTGGTATTTGCTTTCTGCTCATTCCACTGTTTCTGATAGGAACATAACAGCACTGAGTTACTCTACACCCAAGTGGGTTGAGCACAGGTTTCCCATCCTGCTGGAATGCTCACACTGAAATGTAACTAGAAGAGACAACTGATTCTGAAGCGTTACACCAAAGAGATCAGAGATCCAGACCTAACCCATTGCTTTCACTTATAGGTGCTGTTTCCCTGGCAACCCAGCTTCATGAGCTAGCCCCGTAGGTGCCAGCCACAAGGAAAGGAGTGAAACTGGAAAAGCAGTGATTAAGATAACCCTGAGCTATCCTCAAACCAATCAGAGTGCCAGAACTTCACATCCCTCAGACAGAGTCAGCAGTTTGCTTTGTTCTGGGAAGCCAGATTGCCTGACCTGACCACTGTGCTCACAGCTGTGCTTCCTGTGTTCATGCAGGACTTACTTCCAGCACAGATTTATATCTTGTAAGATACCCAAACCAAGCCGTACTACTGCTAATTCAATTCACTGCGTGAATTATGTCCTTCAGCAACAGCAAAAGTGCTGAAAAGTATCTGAAGAAAATAAGGTAAACACCCAAACTCACACAATTTCCAAAAGAACAGATTAACTGTTTACAGGAGATAAAGTACAAGCATGGCCCAACTTTCTCCCAGACAGCACAGCATTCACTACTGCCATCCCCTCGGCCCACAGAGATGAGTTGAGCACACTGGAGCTAAGCTCTGCTCTCCACAGCTTGCTGTGGAAGGGCCGAGCTGCCCAGCACTGCCTTCTCCACCTCCCAGGAGCTGCTGGATACTGTGGCCTAATGACAATTAGCAAGAGTGAAGGCAAAAACAGAGCGAAGGTTAAAACACCAATCCTGAAGCCCTTAAGGACTGGTCAGCGAGTGCTGAACTGCCACAACTATGCAGCCAGATAAAAACATTCCAATACGAAGTGAGAGCCCACCGTACCAAGGGACAGGGCAGACTGAGGGTACTCACACCAGTTAGTTACTCATTTGAGCTTCAGAATTTCCTAAGCAGCTGTCTGGCCGCACAGCCTGCATATCATAAATGCAGATGACGAGTACACACAGCAGTTCAGAAGTTGTTAAAACCTACCATGTGCTTGGTGCATGCCCAAGAACCAGAAGTAAGAGAACTTAAGAAGTTTCAGAACTGCATTTCCTAAAAGTTGACCCAATGAATTCATTAGTAAGTTAGCTTCCAATTGGTTTTGCTTAGTATATTTCAACTATATCAAAATATCTCCATTAAAAAGACAGATTTCACACACAAAACTGGCTTAACAACAAAATGACATAATTTCTGTCAGAGAGGGACAAACCTACGTAACTAAATTAAAAAAAACACAGCATCATAACTTGTCCTATTCTGTTGATGGACAACACCCTGAGCAGAACATGCTGCCCCAGCAGATACCAGCTGCCCTTCCCAGCAGCCCAAGCATGAAGTTGCCCAGAAAGCCTGTGGAAAAATAAAAAGAAGGAAAAAAATAAAGTAGAATTTACTTTCCACCAGACCACCATCCCCAGCCCTTCTCAATTTCACAGCTCCTTAATTACTCATCAGGATCCTGTTCCACTCGAGACCTCGATTCACCTGATCCAGAATCCTGCAGTCAATGGGCAGCTTGTCCTTCCCGTACCTCCAGCACAGATCAGGGCACGAGCAGAGCTGTGGGGACAGGTGACCTACAGTGCTACAGAGTGAGGATATCGGCAAGTAATGGGACATACAGAACAACACGAGTTACATGGAATCACTGAAAGAGGATACAGAAACTGTACATGACTACAAACAATGCATGTTTTAGTTCTTCTTTCCAGCTTGCTGCCAAACTAACACCACAAGAAACTCTGTCTTATTGCATCTGTTGCAATAAATTACAACCGAATGGAGAAACTGGCAGTGAAGTTCACAGAACTCCTCAAAAGGACCAACCCTGGGAGCAGAGGGGCTGAAGCCAGCCCTGCTCCACTGTGTCACCACCGAGAAGCCCTGGAGCTGCAGAGGAGGCCCAGCTGCCCGGCCGAACAACAGGAAGGAGCTCCAGGAAGAACCTGTTGGGTGGCCCGGCTGGAGGTTCAACCCCGCACTGAGCCAGTCCTGCTGCATCACATCGCTGCTGCCTTCCGTCCTCCTGCTCTGACACCGCCCAGCGCCAACACCGCAACCCCAGCCAGCCTCCCGGAACGCGGTGCGTTCACCACGGCCGTGCAACAGGCGAGCAGCAGTGCGGGCAAACACACAGTGATTCAGACTCACAGAACAGAACCATTAAGGCTGGAAAAGGATCCCCAAGCCCAACCCCTCCGAACCCACCGACCCTCGCTGCCAAATCCCCACGGTTCTCAACACCTCGAGGGACGGTGGCTGCCCCACCCCGGGCAGCCGTGCCGCTGCACCACCGCCCCTTCCGATAAGTTCCCCTCACACCCAGCACGGCCGTCCCTTGCCTCAATGCAGGACGAGGCGAGGCCTCAGCACGGCTCCGCCTGGAGCCCCGCACCCCGCGCTCACCGCGCTTGTTCTTGGTGCCGTGTTTGCGTGCCGCCGCCAGCTCCTGCTCGATCTTCTTCTCCAGGAACTCCTGCTTCTTGCTCAGCATCTCCTCCGTATCCCGCAGCCGCTGGATGGCCTCCTGAGGAGACGGGCCCTTTCCTGCGCCCTTCCCGCCGGCGCCGGCCCCGAACAGCTTCCCCAGGAGCCCCGACATGGCTGCGCCGTGCCGGGCCGCGCTACGAAGCGATGGCGGCTGCGGAGCGCTTGCGGCGCTCCCCTCACTTCGTTCCCGTCGCTGCGTGCCCCTCGGGCAGCCCGGCCCTCTGTCCGCCCGCCGCTCCGAAAAGCCCCGCAACGCCCGGACCGCTCCTCCGCCACCGGCCGCTCGCTCGGGCCCGCACCCCGCCCCGGCTCTCCGCCCCACCGCGGCCGACCCCGTGACGCATACAGCTCCCGGCGCACCCCGCGGCTCAGCGCCGCTCCGCCAAGCAGCGGCCGCGCGAGAGGCACGCTGGGAAACGTAGTGCGGGGCGCGGAGCACGACGGGAAAGGCGGGGAGCGGCGGGCAGCCGGGCGGAACCCGGAAGTGGCGTCATGTGGCGAGTGACGTTGGCGCGCGGTGACGTCAGCGGATGGGCGGTCGCCATGGCGACCGGGAAGGAGCGGGAGGAGGAGCGGGCGCAGGCCGTGGGCGGCTGCCCCGTACTGGGAGTGATGGAACCGGGCGTAACCGCGGCTGAGGGCCGAGGCAGGACCCGGCAGCCTTAGAAACACAGAATAGAACCATAGAATCATTTCAGGCGGGTACTTTAAGACCCCCTGGTGCAACCCCCCTCCACTCAACGGGGACACCGACAGCTCCATCGGTGCTCAGAACCCCCAGCCTGACCCTGGGTGTCTGCAGGGATGGGGCACCAGCACCCCTCTGGGCAGCCTGTGCCAGTGCCTCACTGCACTCCTAAAAACTTCCCCATATTCCCTCTTCTAGTTTGAAGCCATTTCCTCTTCTCCCATCACGACAGACCCCGCTCAAGAGCTCGTTCCCTTCTTTCTCACAGCCCCTTTAGACACTGACAGGCCACTCTCAGCTCTCCCTGGAGCCTTCTCTAACCTGCACAGCCCCAGCTCTCTCAGCCTGTCCTCATATGGTTGGTGCTCCATTCCTCAGATCATTTTTGTGCCCCCCCTCCCCGGTTTGCACCCCAGCAGGTTTAGGGGCTGGATGACACAGCTAACTGCCATGCACTGAGCACAGCACTGCCTTCTGCAGGACAGCAGCAGCTCAGTGAGAAAATCCATCTGCAGGAGTTCACCAACAATGCCTGCTGGCAAACCCTGCTTCACTCCAGCTTGTTAGCTTTGTCATGGCAAACATGGAAGAAAGATAAAGAAATATAGAGAAGAAAAATCCAAGGGTTACAGAAATCACTCCCAGGGTAGGAAGCCCCTCAGAGGGAGATATCAGAATCTCAGAGTGCAGACACAGCCTTCTACCTGCCTTTATGACTCTATGATCTGCTGCCAGAGGTGGATGCTGAGCACCTGAGCCACTTGTTCTGATTCAGCATCAGCTCCAGATTTCCAGAGCAGGCCTGCCTGGAAACCTCCAGAAAATGCCAGGAGGCTTCTGGCAGCAGATTTGTGGCCTCAACAGAGCCAACCCTGTGGTGAGGTATCCGGCTGTCAGTGCTCAGAGCACACAGACATACAGCCCAGCAGCTCTGCTCCTCCTCAGCACATGCTGCAGAAGCAGAGATGCAGTTCCTGGGTGAAATTCTTCCAGTTTGACCCACAAGAAATAGAACAGCTTGTGCACATCCTAACTGACCCAAGGTTTCAGAGAAGCTCATAGAGATGGACAGAACAGCAAGAAACAGGGTTTCCGGAGTTCCTGGCATGCTGTCAGGAGCCTCCTTCCTGGCACAACTGTTCTGCACACACAGAACAGCACTGCACATCATTCTCAATGTCTCAATGACAGCATCTTCTTTTTCCTGATTCAGTTCTCTTTCCCACAAGATTTTTCTATGTCAAAATTTAATCTTCTTTTCTTCTTGATGTTCTTTTCAATAACTGCTTCTTTATTTTTTCCACTTTTCAAACAAGGGGCAAAGCCAGCAGCTGGGGCTGCCAGTGCCCCTGTGCCTTCCCTCTGCAAACCCCCCGAATGCTGGAGCATTCATCAGGCATGCATAAGGCTCGCAGCCACAGAGCTTCTGAAGGCAAGATCTATACAGTCACCCAGCCCAGCTTCTCTTCTGATCAGGGTCCTCTGTTACATTATCTTACACAATCACTCTGAGATTTACTCAGAGGATAATTGTTATGTTAAAGATAAAACTTTATGGTAATGTGAAACGCTTACTCTGTGTACCACCACCACACATGCAAACAGGACAGCTCAGCATTTCAGCTCTTGTATCCCACGGTCACAGGTGGAGCTGTATTGTGGTTCTGCTGCTGACCTTTGAATTGCATTCAGTGTAGCGAGTAGAAACCAGCTCAAGCACCTCATTTCAACAGATTGATCTGTGAGCAGAGCTGGAAGAAAGCAGGGCCCAGAAGGGAACGGCCATTCCTCCAGACTGCCCTCCAAGCTGGAGGAGAGCTGCACCACACGTTGTTGTCTCAAAATAGACCTGAGTGCAGCACTGCAGCCAGCACCTGGAGCCACATAATGACACCGTACACTGTGGGTAAAGAGAGCAGCAAAATAGGGACAGCATATTTAGCAATCTGTTTCCTTTCCTGCAAGAACTGTCTTTAAAACATTATGGGCAAATAACCTCTGCCCTTTTCAACAGAAGAGAGATTGCACAGAAGCACTTGCCCTAACTCCTAAGTATGCCCACTCAGAGCAGGATGCTCAGGGCCTTGCTGAGCTTTGAGTACAACCCGGTACCGACACCCCACTGCCTCTCCACAACCTTGTTCCAGTGCCTGACCACCCTCTTGGAAGAAATCCCTCTACACTGAGTCTGAATTTCCAGCACATCTCTACCTTCCTGCCCTGCTGCTGTGCACCCCTGAACAGTGCGGCTCTATCTCCTCTCCTGCAAACTCCCTGTTTTCAGAGTCTCTGCAAGGAGACAGGAGGAGTGCCTGGAGCTCAGGCAGGCAGCAGCCAAGCACCGTGGTGAGACCAGTCAGACCAGTGACACTGGGTTGACTGCTCTGGTGGCCAAAAATCCATTTGGAAGCAGTAGGTGAGGCAGGGACTTCACAGCCAGGCTGTCAGCTCCACTGAATTCATGCTCTGCCCCACATCACCCCCAGGCTGGAAATGCAGTGTTTTCACACCTATAAAGAAGCAGTTAATCACAGAAAATTTACCAAGGGAAGCTCAGCTTACCCATACACAGAGAAAGAAAAAACAAACAAATGAAAAAAACAACAGTGGAGAGCAGAGTATGGAGACAGTGTGTCCCAGGTAGACCTGGAAGCAGTAGGGATATTCTCCAGAGTCCAGCTCTCTTCTCCAACTACCAGGACCACTGGATAGCAGCACAAAAATAAAGACAACGTGGTTTGTAAAGGAAGAGGGAGCCCAACAGGCCAGTGCAGATGGCAGCAGCACACTAAACTTCTCTCCTACCGACTCTGGGCTCCACATCTGCCCACACAGCTCCTCTCCCAACATTACACAATGGTAATTTTCAGTTCCCTCTCATTAGGTGTCCTGGTTTGGTGTTCCCATGTCAGCTTTGAATCTCTTACTTGGGAAATCAGACAGAAGAATCCAAGTGGATGACAGAAAATGCTCTAGTAGCAGGATTTCCTTGCTCCCGGATCATACTGACTTCCCATCTGTCAATGATCAACTGAAATTATTAACTGACCCATAAAACTGAGCTAAGGGCACATACAGACTGGGAACAACAGGAGACGTGCACAGAGGTATCCTGCAGCACTTGGTCCAGAGCAGATGCTAGAAAACTGGGCCATAGATGTATCGTAGGTTTCCTGTGTGACCCTAGGCAGCAGACCTCACCCAGGCCTAAGTTTCTCTCATTGTACATAGGAGGTATCATATTTAACTGTTAAAAGGACTGACTCATTAATACCTCAGGCACTTGGAGATTCTCAGATACGGAGAAAAATGTGAAAAGAACACCATGAAAGGAACATCAAGCAGAAAGGACCTAATACACATGTGCACACCCAGCACCATACACAGTTACTCCCACCCACTGACTCCACACAGTTTACAACACATGACATATAGACAAGGTGTTCTTTTTACTGATAAGAGCAGAGAAAGATACCAGAAAAGTCTATCAGAATATTTCTGAACAGTGTTCCCAAAGGATCTCACAATGAACTTGCTTCCACTAGGAAGGATCATTTGTTTGCTCTTGAAAAGGGCACCCAAATACTGGGCAATATAGCTTTTAGGCCAGAAAAACCACAGATGGGACAGGCTGTGATTTGCAAAGCCACCTGATTTCAGCAGCTCTGTTTGTTGCAAGTTTATATGCTCCTCCTTCTCACCCTGATTCAGGGATCTTAGTCTTTCTTGCCCTTAACTGACCAGTGATGCAGAGGGACAAGAAAAAAACGGAGCCATTCTCTTCAGTGCCTTGTAGCCATCAGTGGCTTCCAAGAAGTCCTTCGCCCATGGATGGGAAGATCAAATGGAAATGAAAGCCATTTTCTCCCATATCCATCTACTTCCCACAAGAGCTTTGGTCTTTTTCACCAGGATAAATTTCAGCACCAAGTCTGACAATCCCAGCAGCAGCCCTGAGCCACACAGTGGCTCTACACATGATCACTCAGTCTGGATGTAAACAGGGACAGCCAGCATGGTGCAGGGGCCATCCGATGCAGCCTGCAGTTCTGCCAAGGACAAATTGGATGCAATACTGCTGGGCTGCCCAGGAACGACAAGGTCTGAGTCAGCAGCTCCTGACCCACCAACCACAATGGACAGAACAGCATCCGACTCCTGGAATGGCTCTTTGTTAGGGACATCTTCCTGGGGGCTTTCCCCAGCAGCACTGTCCTTCAGCTCTCCCAGAGCCAGCTGGTTGGGAAGGGAAAGGCCCGCTTTGCGTCCCCGCACCACCCGTTTCTTCTGGGGCTTCCTGAGCTGCAGGTCTTTGTCCTTGGGTGAGCCCAGCCGGCACTTGTGGTCCTTCATGTACTTGTGGCGAGTGAAGCCTTTGCTGCAGGTGGGGCAGCGGTATTTGTAGTTGCCGGTGTGCGAGCGCTGATGCTCCATCATGTGGGCTCGTCGGCTGAAGGACTTGTTACAGTACTGGCACTTGTGGATCTTCATCCCTGCGCATAGCATGGGAGGAGAGAGCTCTGTTAGAGAGTGCAGGAAAACCTACACTGCAAAGGGGAAGCGTGATAGCTTTACCTCCTCCTCCACGCAGTCTCAAACAGCCACCTTCTCACTCAACAAGCCCCATTCTTTTCAGCTTGCTTATTAAAACAACCAAAGGAGATGTCTAAGAGACATCATTCCATGCAAATTTGCTATCAGAGAAGGATGAACTGTTACACCTCAAACACCACTGTTTGAAATGTTTACAATAATGGTTCTTGCCTCAAGTTAGAGGTTTAAAATATCACTAGGAAAAAAAAAATGTGTCAGGTGATTGTGATGAAAATGCAGAACAGTCTTAAACTCGGATTTTTTTTCTCCTAAATGTAATCTTAAAATGTCATAGACTGCACTGTCAGCACAGTCTCATCTGATCACAATTTTGCAGGGCTTTGGATGTGTAAGGCACAAGAAAACACTTTCAGTTTTACCTTGACAGAAAACAAAGCAAAAAAAAAACCCAAAACAAGAACAACAAAAAAGGTTTCCTAGGGCACAGTAGTAAATGAATCGACTTTATTAGGAGCTGGAGCATCATTTTTGCACTTACCTGAATGGGACAGTATATGAGCTTTCAGCTTGTCAGGCCTGTTGAACTCTTTATTGCAGCCTGTGTGGCTTCTGTAAGAACAACAAATGCTGGTGAACAGCATGAAGCAGCTGAGGATTGATGCATAAACTGGAGAGAGATCCATAGCCCTTCTTATCAGAAACTGGATGGCTCCCTGAGTATGGTTACAGTTGGAACCCCACTATTTCAGCCTTTCTGGAAGGGGCAAAAAATAAACAGGCTGATATCAGGACACGTGGCTTTTGCTGGGCCACACACTGCCTTTGCATTCTGCTAACAACAGCAGGTTCAAGGTTCCAATGGGAGTCAGAAATATTCTGGAGGGAGACACAAGGTGATTGGAGCAGGGACAAGTCAATCTTGACTATCTCAGAAATGACAAAGATTTTGGGATGCACCTCCTAAATCTAGATTTCTTTGGTTTGTACATTAGTTCCTCTGCTTCTAAGTGCAGCTGGGGAGACCCCAACACTCAAGCAATTCTGTGCTTTGTGCTCAAATTATATTCTTTCTCTTCCCCAGTGCTCTGCGAGTGCAATCTCCCAAGCCTCCCATGTAGCCAGGCATTGTTTTAGAGGACCTGATGAACTGAGATGAAATTATATTGCCCTACAGAAAGTCAAACACAACCAACACTTCTGGGTTCCCAGCATTCTCTCCTCCTCAAGCAGCAGAGAACTGTCAAATGCCACATGTTCCCTAGGACATGTACAAGGGACATTCCTTCCTTTCCAAACCATGCCACAAGCCATCAAGACAAGCTGCAATGCTGGAGATGCTACGTACGAAAAAGGACATTTGTACTTCTTGAAAGGTTCGTGGATCAGCATGTGCCTCTTGAGTTTGTCTTTCCGATTGAAAGCTGCATCACACACCGAGCATTTAAAGGGCTTTTCACCTGGATTAAAAAAAAGAAAAAGAAATGAAGAGACAGGGAAAGCACAGTCACACAGGGCTGCTCTAGTCATTGCAGGATGACTGCAATCATCAGGATTGCCACTGGCTGCAGTGCTGCTCTACTTTATAAGCTCTCCAGGATTCCTTACCCTGCCCTGTGGGTAAATAGATGGATACTATCCTCACTGCTCCAGCTCTCCAGCGCAGCTCCCTTAGCTTCTGCAGCCCTGGGCAATGGGAAAGCTAATTCTGTGTTTCACTTCCAACTGGTACAGTACTGGGCACAAGACTGAATGAAAACCACACATTTCCTAAAAGCCAAGTTACCACAAATAACTCATACACTGCTCCTCTGGATATCAGGGAAATGCCCAGAGCATCACATGGCCTCAGCAAGGACCATGATGTGGAGTCATTGAACACTGCAGTGCCAGCAAAGCCCCATACCTGAATGGATGTGGGCATGCAGCTTGAGGTAGTGCTCCCGGCGAAAGAACTTCTTGCAGATCTGGCACTTGAACTTGCTGCCTCCGCCGTGGGTGGGGATGTGGCGACGCAGGTACCTCTCACAGGGGAACACCTGTCAGCACACAGAAACCAGGCTGAGTCAGGGGACATCACTGAGCTGAACGGGCAAAGGACTTGTAACCTGTATAAAAAGCACGAGCTCACAGTGACTGCTTTTTTGGAAAGGAAGCACTGAGAGGACCTTTAGTTTTGTATAGGGAAAATACACACAGAGCTGATAAAGCATATAACAAAACAAACCCTTATCCTTAAGAAACGTATGAGCTGAAACATTACTGCTAAATTTTCTCACACCAAACAGCAGCCTAGACAGATGCTCAGCTTCCTGCCAGAGCCAGCAGCAGGACCATGACACCTTCCCCTGCCCAACACTTCCTACCTTCCCATTACTGTTGATTTTAGTTTGTGCTCCCTGTTATCTATTATCAAGAGCTTCCACTCATGGTCTTTATGAAGTCAGTATGAATGCTTCCCTTCATGTAATGAGAACATTGGAAACATTCAAGCTGAGTTCCTAATGAGGATTCTACAAGAACACATCCAGGGGGAGCAAATGAGAGCCTAGACTTTTGTTACCCAGTACTCAGTATCCAGAGCTCCAGAAAACAGCAATATTAGCAAAAATACAAATAGAAGTTAAAAACAATGCAGCAGATAATGGGTTTTCAAAGATGCATATGGCATGCAAAGTCCCATCCAGGCTCAGAAGGGTATCTGTCACTTGGGGTGAGGGTGGAGAGAAGGCAGGTAAAGAAAAACAAGTTACTAACCATGCCAAGAGCACGTATTCCCTTCCTGAACTACCTCAGTACAGAATGGTCACTCCTTTGAGATTGTCCCTGCCCCCACTGCAGGATTTTCATTTCCTCTGCTTTAAACAGAGGAACATTTCAGTCTGGATTTCAAAAATTAATTTATTAAAATTCAAACACCACAAAAATTTGCCCATCAAGCCCCTTTCAGGGCCATGCTGAAATGAGCACTTCCAGCCAAAACCTACCCGTGCATCATGCCGGTCCCAGTCACATCATTCTGAAAGGTTTCTCTTTGCCAGGACACAGAGCACTCATCCAAAAGGTGGGACCAAGGGAGAACCCAGAGAGTTCTGTTGCAACAAGAGATGAGGACAGCAACGTAGGTGTCAGAGCTCCCTCGGGACCCACGGGTTTCTATTCACAACTCTTCCAGCCATGGGCAGATAAGCATGGTGGCTCAAAGGCACCACCACTACTCTGAGACTTCCCAAAACCTCATCACTGACACACTTACTTTTAAGAAACAAAGACTGCAGCCTAAAGCATGCAGTTCTGCATTGTCATGGGAATAAGGGGACTCCCCTTACAAGTTCTGTTCATTAGGTCAGCAAACGAGGACTAGGGAGAAAAGCCAACACTGTGGGGAGGAATGCACTCTGCACGAGGTCAGGGATGTAACCACCTCTGCCTCTCTGAAAAGCACCTCATGAGCCTGCCAGTCCGTACTGAGGTAGAAGGCAGATAAAAGGGAGACAAGGGGTCTTGTGCCATCAGAGCCAGGACTGGCTCATACAGCAGTCACCCACTCACCTTCTGGCAGTGAGGGCAGGGGAAGTTGTGCGTTGCTGTCTGCAGATGGTGCTCCAGGGCTTCAGGAGTGGAGTACTTGTTTACACACTTCACACATCTGAATGCAGAAAGGACAGAGCTTATGAACAGGGCTACATCCACATGTAGACCCCACACAGGGCAGCCCAGCCCTTCACCAGCCACCTTCCGCATTGATTTTTGGCAGGGTCAGTTTGGTACAGACATTAACACCATCACCTAGGTGCTCTGAAACCTCAGCAACCCACATGGCCAGATCACACACACAGACTTAACACCCTTCACCAGGAGAAGATGCTGGAAAACTGGGTGAAGAAACCTTTCAATTACTACTGCTCTTCTACACAAACTCCCATGGGAGCACCCAAAGACCAAAGCACATACTCCACATCATCTCTTCATGGAGACAACTAAGATCTCACCTAACATAAAACATCTCCTCCCATCTTCATGCAAGTGAAGGAGCTGAGCATGGGGTCACAGCACAGCAGTATTTCCTGTGGCTGGAGCAGCCACAAGGTGACATGCTTCACTGTGGGCTCCCCAGCATCTAACAGAGCTTCAGCTCACACCGACTCCTCTCCTGCAACACCTGAGCTTACTCCACCTGACCCACCAATTCTCACAAACCCTGGCAGTATTTCTGAGACCTGTGCCAAAGCTGACTGGTAATGCGTGATGGGGACATGCATAATCAATGAGGAACAAACACACTCACACCATGCATCTGCAGTGAAACTTCTGCTTACTTTAGCAGACTAAAGCCTCCACAAACACAAGCAGAGCTCTGACCTCAAAGATCTCTGCCAATAAGCTTTAGGATGAAGCTCCAGGCACAAGAATGGCTAGAAACTATGGTCTAAGTAGCAGCAGCTATTTATTCCATTAGGGTCCTAAGTGACTTTCAATATCCTCTGGGCTTCCTACTCTTCCTGTATATCCCTACAGGCATTTCAACATCCCCAGAGAGCTGTGAATTCCCTCACCCTTTCCTCTCTACTTACAGAAAGGCTTCTCCAGGTTGTAGGCCCTTTCACAGCAGAAGAATAGAAGTAATAACTCATTCTACCCAGGCACAGCTTCTGCAGAGCACACTCCCTCTGCTGCAGGTATTTAACGAATCAAGCTGAAAGGGGCTTCCCAGGGTCGCCTGCCCAGCTTGGAGCAGGCTCAGCTACGCTCACCTCACTCCTGACTGATGATAAGAGCTCTTGCAGTAGTGGGGTCTTCCTAAATAGCTAATGGCAGTCCTTCTGAAAGGGCCCTTGCATTCAAAATGCTTGGCTCAAATATCCTGGTGGAGAGGCCCCCATCTACCATCTGTGTGTCCAGGAGAATTATGGCTGTTGAGCAAGCAGCCTCCTCATCTTTATGTTCCCCCTGCTCTCAACCAGACACACACTGCACACACCCACTCCTACAAGCCTTGTGAGCACTGTTTGCTACTGTACTTGTACACGGCCACGTCCTTCTTGGGGCTGTGTTGGGGCAGCAGGCTGTGCGAGTACTGGTGGACGCCCAGCTCATACAGGGAGGGGAAGTCCTTGCTGCAGAGGTGGCAGCGATAACTCAGCTCCTCCTGGTGGCTCTTGATGTGGTCGAGGAAAGATTCCAGCTTCTGGAAGGTCTGAGCGCAGCTTTTCACCACACACTTGTACACCTGGGTGAAGAAGTGAAAGAGAAAGTGGAGAGGCACACCATGGAAACATTCAGGGCAAGTCCTCTGGTAACAGGCAGAGAAATCTCCCTTTTTGGAAATCACAGCAGCTGGGTACTTCATAGAACACAACCACTGCCTTAAGAGGAACTAAGGTTTCCTGCACTAGGTTGCACCAGGATTCCCAGAGCACAGACTATGCCCACACACTGCCCATGAGGCCAAGAGCACTCAGTCAGGGCATAGCAAGGAAACCCTGCCCTGCAGGAGCACAACATGGTGATAAACCAAACAAAACAAAACACTCCCCTACTGGGAATAACAGTGCAGGGCAGCTCAGCATCAAAACGTAGCTGACAACTGTAGGTGAAGACAATGGCAGAACCTGCTGGGAATTAAACAGGAACGAAAATTACACTCCTGCAGCACAACAGCTACTGAACTGATATCCAAAGATCACCCAGCTCAAGGAAGGTCCCCACCACACACAGTTGGCCCCACATAACCCTTCCCTGACCCTCAGAGCCACTTCAGCTGCTGGCCAACAGCTGCAGTTCACAGGCAGATCCTGCTCTCTTTCCATCTCTATCCCTGGGGTAAGATCAGCTACAAAAGATGAACCCTTCTAGCCCTCAGCTCTCTCACTTCTTAAGGGCTGGGCTAAACCTATTCAACTTCCACATGATATTTGCTCTGCCCACACAAATTGCCAAGGCACTCCCCTAAGAAAACAAGCAAGAAAGTAAGATGGGAGAAGGAGATGTTTCTGTGAGCACGTGAAACCACCTGAGGGAGTGAGACCACAGTGCCCCAGCAGTGACCGTCCTACAATGCAAGAGCTGCCACCTACTTGGAAAACTTTGGATTTTGCCTTTTTTCTTTTTCTCTAGTCACTCAAACCTGCTTGACCTATTTTTCACCAGTGGCTCAGCAGGACAGGGGCAGCAGAGCTTTTCAAAGCCACCCAGATCACACAGCTGCAACCCAGACATGCAAAGAGCTAAGCTGAATGGCAAGAATTTACTAAGTAGGCAGTATGCTTTAGACCCTGTGAGCCTGTCTCAATCTCACCACAGACACAGGGCACCCTCTGTCCCTACCTGTTCATTCTTGTGCTGTGTCATGTGCGATTTGAGCTGGAAATAGGTGTTGAATTTGCTGGGACAAAACTGGCACTGGTAAGAGCTGTCGATCAAGACAACCTGTTTGGCTTCCAGTTTGCCAGCATCACTCTCCTCCATGGGGCTCATGTCTTGGGGAGGTTGTGCAGGGTTCCTAGAGGGTTGAGTCAAACCTGGAGAAAAAGGAGAGAGAAAGTCACAGGTTGCCACAAGATAGCTCTGAAAGCTGCTCTGCAAACTTAGTGCTGGTTTGGTTACCCAGGTTTGGTCTGATACCCAGGTTTGATACCCAGGTTTGGTCTGAATCCAGGCTCTTCCTTTCAAAGGCAGATTTTTAGATCAGAAACTCACTTTCTAATGGCATAGTTATAAGTTTGTCTACAGGTGACCTAAAGCTCTGACTACTCCATCTTCCCCTCCTTGACCCATTCTCTTTACCATTGTGCTTCCAGGAACATAACTGTGCTCTGTGAGTACGGCAGGCTGCCAAGGGGGAACCAGTGCCAAATTTATTCAAATGTCCAGCAGGAGACAGGTGGTCAGATCCAGCCAGTAGCAGCCCTGCTGTCTGCAGAGACCAGCTCCAGCTGAACCTTGTCCTAAGTATGACATTGCCACAGTACTGCTTCTTCATTTCTACCCATGACCAAGGTCATCAGCAGAAAGGGCAGACACCATCTACGAGCAAGGAGCTCTCCTTTGCATCAAGTATTTTCAGTTGGCCACAGGGACCAGACCAGTCCAGGCAATTTGCATATTGCCAGCAGGTGAGAGTACCAGGCTGTGCTAAATCACCAGCCTAGACCAGAGCTACCAAGTGTGGTTCAGGTACTATCCAAGGTGCACCTGTCAGGGAGTGAGAAAGGGAAAGATATCTCTCCCTGTTCCTATACACATCCTGACACAGAGGCACTGTTTTCACCAGCACCTGAATCAGAGGCTGGGAGTACCAGTGGATGAAGCTGTCAGCAAGAGTGGAGCAAACACAACTCAAGCATCCACTGCATTTCCCCATTGTATGCCATTAAGTCCCACAGCAGGACAGCAAGAGGAACGCTTAGCCCCCATCTTCCCCATTTCTCTGTGGAGGATCAGGAGATGCAGAAATGTGCAGAGCCCTCCCAACACTGCTCTGCCCCTAGCACACACCATCCCCAGGCAGCAAACCTGCGTTCTCCTCATCCTCTGCCTGGTTGGGGTTCAAGGCCATGACCTGCACAGTGATGGAGTTGCGGGAGATGGTGCATCCTAGTCCTGGAGGCCACACTTTATGGGTCTGCATGTGTTTCTTCACATTGGACTTCTGGGCGAAGGCTCGGCCACACACAATGCACTGGAAGGGCTTCTCACCTGTGTGACTGAATGCAGAAGGCACTGTAGCTGTAGCTAGTGAAAAGACGAGGCAGTTCCCAGGCCTGGGCTGCACTACACCATCTCTGCTTGGCAGATCAGCCTCCAGACCAGCCAAACAAGTGTTTTCAGACCCTAACAGTACAGGAATGGTAAAAGGCCTGAGAAAACAAGCTCAGCACACAAACTCTGAAAGTCTGGGAATAACAAGGGATCAAATGAAGTGAGAGAGGTAAAGAGCTCCTCAGCAACATCAGGTCATTCACTGTTAGAGTTTCTGCATGGACTTCTGAGACCCCACTGTTCTTCTCACAAGTAAAGATAAATAAAGATTCTCTGTCACTTACCCCCCCTGCATACATGAGGCTTCTACCTTGCAGTACCCTGATCTCCCCAAACCTGCTCTCCCCTGTCCACAGCAGAAATGCCCTTCTACTTTGCTCCTTTGCTACCAGAGGAAAAAGCTGGCTTTGGCACATGGAGTATGTAAGATAAAGAGCCCAGGATGGGAAGGTGAGCAAATCACCATTTGCTCCTCATCTGTCCTGAGCTGAGCATACCCTACTGGAGAAAATGCTGAAGATCTCAACTGCCTCCTGCTAAAGCTCTGGCTTTCATAAAAGCTCCCTGTGTAGACATAAGCTTAGCTTATGGTTTGCTGATTCCAGCCTTCCTGCAAACATGCAAGCTGCAGCTTACTGAGGAGGCAGAAAAAGAGTTGAGGGAAGCAGTGGAGACAACACTGCTCCAGAAAACAGGCGGCTTTCAGGGTCTCATCAGTTAGGAAAGGTCTCCAGTCTCAGCCCATTAGCAGAAAGAAGATTGTATCTTTGGTGCAGCCTTCACTTCAGCCACTAAACTGCGCTCCTGTACAGAAGCCCTAGAGGGTGAGGGATGAAGCTCAAGGTCATTAGAGCATGGATTCTGGGAGATATGACAAACATGAGGTTTACTGGGCTATGCAGACTCCCTCAGCAGGGCTGTGCCCAGACCCACTCCAGCCACCCGACTTTGCCCAGGCTAACATCACCCTTACCTTCTGATGTGCTGTTGCAGGTCAAAGTTCTTGGTAAACGCCTTGTCACAGTAAGTGCATTTCAGCTTTGGGGACTTGGGTTTCCCTGAAAGAGTAAGAGTGTGCACAAGAATGATGTGATCTGACACAACCTCATTGTCACCCTCCACTGCAGGGCCTTCAACCAAAGACATTTCAGAACCAGAACAAAGAACTGCCTGAACAGACTGGGTAGAGGTGAAGGAACAAGCACCTATTAAATGTAGCCTGAGCTAGCTCAATAAGTGCTGAGGAGAGCAGAAGTTGGGAGGCAGGGAATTCCCTTTGGGCATTAACCACTCTAGGGAACCTTCCAGCCACACTACAAATGGAAAACAGCAGAACCATGGGCTGCTCTAGGAAACTCTGGACTGAGAGCTGCTTGATCATTCACACCTCTGCAAATAACATTTTAACTCTGTGGGTCCAATCTTGGCTACATGGCTTTCCTCCATCTCATGCCTGGGACCTCTCTGGTCGCTTGCTGAGCACACATCCACCACACCATTAGCAAGCAGGCTCAGCCAGCAGAGGATCTAGTGTTCCTCTGTCCTGTGGCTGGGTGTGCCACTGTCCTGTGTCATTCACAGCACTGAAATACACACAGGGTTGGCTCTGCTGCACCCTTGATATTACAGCCTTTGAAATCAAGCCTCTCTCATCTGGCCCACAGGAACTGCAGCTGGGCATTATTGCTTCAGGTTACACAGACCAAGCTCTAACACCTTATTTTGCAGGATCTCCCCATTTTTAAGAGCGATCCAATCAGCAATGAAGCTGCAGAGATTTAGCACAAGTTTGCCCATGCAGCAGCACAGCGACTGTCCTTTCATGTGTACACAGAGGGGACAGACAAGAAGCCCACGCTTTCACCTGCTCTTGATAGCCTTGTGCAGGGGGTGGTGCTCCTCCCAGGGAGCTGCAGCACAGTCAGTGCCACCCCACAGGACCCTGAGAGCCAGTGGCACAAGGTAAGCATGGTGGCCTGCAGGTTAGCACAGGGTATCTGCCATAAGGACACTTACCTTCCTGCAGCCCACTCTCACTTTTGGAACGTCTACTTTTGACAGCTGAGGTGGAATCAAAACCAACCACGTTGCCTCCTCCTGCACTGGTCAAAGGTGTGGGAACGCTGGCACTCTTGGGCTTGAACCCCTGCTTCCCAGGGCTGTACACAGGGGGAGAGGGGTACACAGGACTTTCCACACACTGGCTTGGTACCTGCAAGAGTTCCATTACCAGTGGAAAGAGGTTTGCTACACAGCACAATACTGTGCTAAGCACAGTTCCTACTATCCTCCATCTCCAGCAACACTTGCCACATCAGGTTATTAGGCTGGCTGAGTTTTCTACTTCCTGCCACACAATAAATTTCTGACAACAGTGTCAATTCATTGTTGAATTGATTCACCAATTCAACAGTGTTTCTCTAAAACTAACACTATGCACACTCTGGCTGAACATCACAAAGCATCCAAGAAAAGAATATCAAAGAAAAACTGAAGGAGACCTCTAGTACCCTGCCTATGCCTAGTGCATGGAATAGTTCCTCATTCCTCCAGGGCAGGTGACCAGCACCATCACCACTGAGCCTGCAGGCTCACAGCACCCTGAAGGCTGGGATCTCCAAGCCCTGCCCCAGCAGGACTGCAGATGGGAAAGAAAACACAAGAAAACTTCAGGTGGCAAAACACAAGTGTTTACATCAGCACATCAAAAATGGATGTTTAGAGAAAAGGACAGAGACCAACGAAGAGTGATATGGCTTAAGGGCATTCCTATTTCCCACCCTGATAAATTAGCGTAGTATCCAAGTATCTGACATGCCCATCCATTTCTGAACACTGTCACTTGCAGATCAGCAGCCAGTTACAAAGGTAAGGCTGGCAAACCTCTATCACACCCAGTAAATTCCACTGCGAATGTCAGTGCAATCATGGAGGCTGTGCACAGTTGATCCACCATTAAACCCACTCCTGCCTGTGCCTCTCTTTAGAAGAAGCTGCCTTTGTCAAGCTCACTGAGATTCAGATTGACTTCTTCTCTCCACATAAGCCTGCAGTGCACAGTGCAGTGCACCCCTCAGACAACTCCTTCACCTCAGCCCTTCTTGCAACACCCACAGGAAGCCTGCATCTGCCCTGCAGCTTTCTTTATAGCTTGTTCATAGAATCACAGAATGGCTTGGGTTGGAAGTGACCTTAAAGATCATTTAGTTCCAATCCACTCTGTTGTGAATAAGTTTGCCAGCCACTAAATCAGGCACTAGATCAGGCTGCCCAGGGCCTCGCCAAGCCTGGCATTGAGCCCCTCCAGGGATGGGACATACGCAACTGTTTGGGCAGTCTGTGCCAGAGCCTCACCACCCTTTTGAGTTCTCAGAATCCCCTTCATCTTACTGACATCTTTCTGATCAGTACTTTTTCCCCAGAGGAAATAATCCCTCAGATAACCTAACATAACCTCCCAGTCTCTAATTCGGCATTTCTAGCCCAAGCAACACTGCTGTCTGGCTTGCAAGAAGAGACCCAGGAGTACAGAGAGCCTGGGGCCATCCTTACCTCCATGGCTGGGTATGGCTGCATCCCCAGCGCCTGGATCTCCACTGAGCTGTTTGCTGCCATGGCTGCAGGAGCACTGTACACTTCAACCACGCCGCTGCCGGTGTTGGGCTGCCCCGGAGCCCCCAGGCTTGGAGGGGGGGGTGGTGGAGGTTGTGGAGGAGGTGGTGGAGGGGGAGGTGGAGGCGGAGGGGGCTGTGAGAGGTAACCAGCCCCAGCATGCATACTTAAGCTGCTCTAAAAACAGAAGAAGGAAAGACAGACAAGATGTTGAGAACACAGCACTGCTCTAGCAGCAAAAAGCTGGAGGCGTTGCTTCTTGACACATGCTCCCATGTCCCAAACCAAAAGGGCACCTGCAATAGTGATGGTGCCTTAATACAAAGCAGCACTGCCCAAACATCAGGTGCACAGAGGGTTGATTTGGACTGGCAGTAGACACCGTCTCCTCCAGAACCCAAACATTCAGACCCCACTGCTTTTTTGCTTTGTTTTTAAACCCTATGGTTATAGAGGATATTTTCAGGGCAAGGGGAGCGTATCCAGCATGTGCAGCCTTAGGGAAAGCCCAGAACAACCATGCCAGGAAAAGAGGGATGCATGAGGCAAACTGATAAGGGCTCTGGAAACCAACCACTACACAGGAGTGCAGCAGAAAGCTGGGGATATCTCATTGCAAAGATCTGAGCATCCAGCAACACGGACACCAGCAGAAAGCAGGCCCTGAGTTACCCTGTCATTTATCCAATGCCCCTTCCCAAGCCTGGCTGTCCCCTGAGGAAGATGCCCATCACTCTGCATCAAAGCAGATCTCTAGGCTCTGATCAACCACCTGCATTCTCCTGCCACACAGCCAACAGTCCCAGGAAGTGAAAGCCCTTCAGCACACACATGTCCCTTACCTGTACTGGGGGCTGCACCGCTGGCATGGGTTGGTCCAAGGATGTAAAAGCAGACATGGCTGACATCAGCACCTCATCACTAACCAAGATGTTCCCCTGCACCAAGGTCTGAATCAAAGGCGACGGAGGAACGGTGATGTATGTAGAAATTTGCTAAAAGAAAATAAATAAACAAGGCATTGTTGACCAGCAACAAGACAATACAATAAACTCAGAAACATGATGACAAGGCTTACTGCTGAGCCTCTGAGCCTCTACTATATGCTGACCAGAGGATGTGAGAAGCCAAAGTAATTACCCACAGCTTCCTGTTGAGTTCGAGGCAGTTTCTAGCTGTAACAATAAAGCAGTGCCAGAAATGTTCTCCAGAAAATGGTATAAAAGATGACAGCAGCTCAAGGAAGAGGTCACTGGCTGCAGTTCAAATCAGTGGTTATTAGCCAGTTCTACAGGACAAACTACAGACAAGATCGTGTCTTTACTGAATATTTCCTGCCAGCCAGGGAAGTTGGAGGAAGACAGAGGCTGCTCTGGCTGCAGATGGTGAAGAGGAGGGGAGGGTGGATGTCCTTAATTTATGGATGAAAACAAACAGCATTTGCTGTTTGAGAGCTCCCATTTTGCTTCTGGGAAGCACCATCCACTGGCACTGAGTAAACTGAAAAAATAACAGTTGGTTTGAAGAACTTCAGAAACCACCATGGCTGCAAGCACAGCATGTGTCATGCACAAGGGACTCGCTCCTGGTAAGTCTGTTGGGAAGGAGGGCTACTGAGGCAAGGATATTCCCTTACTGCACAACACACCACATGATATGGGGTTAACTGCAGGAGATGAAAGAAGGAGCACAGGGGTGAGGCTGCCACAGACAACTGGCTTCCTCTTCTGACCATGAGCCAGTGAGAGCCTCTCCCACTGAGCCTTGCATGGTGATTGCCCAAGCACACTGCAAATCAGGTGGTCCTGAGCAGAACCTCTTCCAGCCTGAAAAAGGCGTATCAGACATTCATTCTGAAGGACACCTTGCTGCGAGGACCAGGCAAATGTAATGGGAGGTCAAAAGCTAAGAAGAGACCACAGCTGAGAGAGGTGAATTATGAGGCATCGTTGGACCTAAAAGCATCACCTAGGGGTCTCTCCACTCCCACAACCACGGTGGCAGAGCCTGCTGGTTCACAGCATGGTACCTGTCGGCTCGTGCTCGGAGCCTGCTGCACCGACGTGATGGAAGGGGTGTACACACTGTTGGTGGCCAGTGAGACTGTGGAGAGGGAAGGGGTGTTTCCCTGGCACTGCTCTCTCTTGTGGGTCATGAAGGCAGGCAAGGAGTTGAACTGCTTCTTGCACTTCCCACACAGGAACACATCTTCATCATCTGCAATTAGAGAAACAGGTCACTGCTGCAGGCCTTCCCCAGTGCCACACTCCAGCTACAGCCAGTAAAGGCAAGAAAACAGACACTTAATGTATCCTGGCATCTCATGGATATCATCAGGAGATAACAGGTGCAACTGTCCTTCCCTAATCCTAACCTCTCCCTAAATCCAACTAATGTGAACGAGACCTGTCTCAGTTGTGCTTCCAAACACGAAACATGCTGTCTCCTTGAGATGAACTGAATCCCATCATCAGTCTTCTCATCCCAATGGCACGATTAATCAATCCAGCCTCACTCCTGTAACACCTTCTGTTTTTAGTCTACATAGCTTCTTCCAAAGCTTTATCCCAGATGAGACAGACTTTATTACGCAGGTTGCACAAAGGATGAGAAGTAAGGTGCATCAAATCACACAGTCAACTGCAACTTCTGCCTGAATCCCATCCCCAGGAGCACTGCTGGTCTTTGGTGCCTCTGCTTGATGTTAGAGGCAGAAGACGAGAACCCAGTCATCACTGGTCTATATGAAATTTGCAGCACTGGTAAATCACATAAGCACATGGCAGTTTTCACTTGAGCCAGTTGCACTCAAACCTCTGGAAAAAAAAATATCCTGAAGCTCACAGAGTTGTATCTCCCACCTGTTTTGGGGATGCAGACCAGAACCTCTCCAGGGGCACAACTCAGATCCTGGCCACCACAAAAGGCTTTCTCTCTCTCTCTCCCAGGGCAATGCGGTAATTCACTGTCTAATTTGATTTTATTGGATGACCCACACAAGGGCAAAAAGAGCTGAAGGAATAAACACTCTCACAGGGAAAGACTCACACATCATTCCTGGCTGCTGGGTCTGCTGCCAGCCAAACTGTCAGCAAGCAGCATGTGTGGAACCCAGCACCTAACTCAGTACCTAACTCACAGCACCCTTGGTTGAACGCTGTGGGTTTCTGCATGCACAGGAACCACCCATTCCCATGTCCATTCACACAGATGAGGTACCCAGTGATTGAATACATCCCCAGAGGAAAAGAAATGGCTCATTAAATAAAAAAATATGAATACAGGTAGTGGCAAGGAGCAGCTGTTCTCTTCCTCCCCACCTTTATCCAGAACACAGAGGCCACTCTTGCCACAAACTACCCAAAAGCTCTCTGCTCACTTTGGCACTCACCCTTCCTCCTGCTCTGCCCAGTCCTGCTGAAGGATTCCAACACTCACAGCAGCACCCAACATGGCCAGGCTGGCTGTTCTAACAGCCATGAGAGCACACTGGGGCAGACCTGCAGCCCGTGGCCCCCTCGCCTCACTTCTGCTCCCCAGAACTCACCCATGGGCTGGATGGGGGCAGCTGCATTGACATTTTGAGCAGATGGATCTGATACACCTCCTTGACCATCCAGCAAGGACTGCACAGCCAGGACCGTCTGATTATCCATTCCTGGAAGAAGACACAAGCACAGGTGGTAAATCAAGCATGGCCTGAACACAGATGGAGCACCTGGGGGCCAGGAGCTCACTCAAAGCAAGTCATGGAGGGAAGTTCTCTGCTGCACAGCCACCCTCACCTTCTCACCATGCTCCACAGCATTAAGATTCACACTAAAGCAGCACTCCTATGTGTGTCTGTATACAGCTTTGGTACAAGCAGAGGAAAAGGAAGTAGTGCAAGGAAAGCTGAAAGAGGGCTTGGTTCCAGATGCCCACTGCAACAAGGAAGGATGCTTAGATAGCTACAAGGCAGACGCTTGGAAGTCATGGGCTGCCCAGTACAGCAGCCTGGGTGGCTCTCTCTGGGGACACAGCAGGATACTGCAAAGACAAGCCACCAAGCTTGCTGAAGACAAAATGCCTGGTGTGCAGCATCCTACTCTCAGCCCACACCTGAGCTTCTTTGAGATGTTTTCTTAAAACACCTCCCTGTTTTCAAGATCAGCCTTCCCGTGTCTGACCTGGCACAAGCCTGCAAACTACAGGAGGATTTAGATACAGCAGGAAGTATTAAGCAGGAGCTCTGGGGAGCACTGGCTGAGACTCAGTGCTGGGACACACAGCAAGCAGGACCACAGCTCTCTCAGCTCTGCACCTCTCCATGAGTGCCTCTCCCTCACAGACTGACAGTCACACACTCTTATTTCCATCTGCTGTGGGGCTCCAGGAGTGCATGCACACCCAGATTGTTGCAAGAACCAGCTCACTTGGCCTGGAACAAATATTTTTCATTACAACCAAAAGGCTCTAAAACGTTCCCACTAAATACAGGAAATGGGGACTGCTCACATACAGAGGGAACGTGGCCAGAGACACACAGCTGCTGCATCGAGCCCAGCACACACATTTTCTCCAAGATCTTTGCCAAATTAAGCTCTTACCTAGTTGGACCTTGGCATTATGTGCTGCACTAAAGAGAAAATTCATCAGTCCAATCATTTTCCAACAGTGCAGGTGAGCAGAGTCCCCACTGAGAGGTCACACGTTTTAAAGACATTCTAAATACCCATTTCTCCCACAACTCCAGCGCGAAGCCAACAACAGTGAGACTCCACAAGCACCATTTCCATCAATCACCCTGCACCAAGGAGAGGTCACAACGCTGCACGTGCCCTTGGCAGACAGCACAGCACTGTTCTGCAGCTGCCAGGGGGCGGAGGGCAGTAGCAGCTACTGGAAAGCAGCAGATCTCGCTGCCTCACGCCCTGCCGCACCAATGGGAGCCCTGTCACATAAATCACAGCCAGGCACAGCAGAGCTGCAGGGCCAGTTTTGCAAGCCTTCACTCTGCAGAGTGCTGCATCCCATCCTCTGCAGGCACCACGCCGCTGGATCCTCTCACACTGGCTTTAAAACACACCTCCTGCTCTGCACAGCATCTCCTGGGCAACTGCAAAGGCAAACTGCAGGCACTGCTTGACAAATCTAAAGCAGAGAGGGGAACAGAGCAGCCTTTTTGCAGAGGGAGTAAGCTAGCAGGATACAAAAGAAAACTGGGGATCAAATGCTCAGTTTTAGCATATTTGGGGAATAAGCAAAAAGAGTGGAAATGAAGAATTATTCCCATTGCACCAAGAATGGTGCACTTGGCATGCCCAGCCCTGGGCTTTCTTTCTGGCTCACTGACAGATCTTCTGAGAGAAAAAGCTGCACGGTGGCCTCAATCCTGCTTGCAGGATCAGCAGCACACGCAGCCAGAGCAAAGCAGCCCAAGACAACAGAAATAACTGCTCTCCGTTCTTTTGTCAATTTGCACTGATGCACAGGGTGTCCCTGCATCTCACAAGTTAAACGCACAATGACAGAATTAATACAGAGGGAAACATGTAAGGTTTAGTAACCAATAAAGCCAGGCAGGCACAGCTGCTTGGTTATTGCTGCTGCAGCTCCATGAGACAGCCATGGAGCAGTTCTGCACTGGTAACAGCCTGCAGGATGCTCTTCAGCCATGAAACCTTAAAAATAAATAAATAAATAAATGAAAGCCATCTGTGCCTTCCCAGCAGCAGCACGCCTTCCCAAAACCTGAGAGAAACGCACGGATTTGGGGAAGCCAGGATAAAAATCCAAGATTGCTGATTTGGGCTTTCATTTCCCTCTCCTATCAAATCTCTCTCAGTTTAGACAGCAGAACAAATCTGCCCACCTCACCCAGGTTCTCCTATCACCTCAAGCCCCGAATTTCACATAGTAAACCCTTTGGTTTGCTCCTGTCAACACAGCTCCAAGGGCTGCAGTGGCAGCGCAGAGGATTCTCTGCCCCATGGCATTCATTGGGGACACGACTGCCTCGAGCACCACGCAGACACCGAGTCACAGTCAGCTTGTAATCAATCCAGTCAGCAAAACAAAGCAAATAGGTCCAGCTATCAAGAGCCGTCATTTATTGGGAAAAAAGAAAGAAAAACAAACACAATTCGCAAAGATGCTTTGGCCTCCCGAACTCTGCAACGAAACCCGCGCGGCATGGAGCTGATAGCAGAGAGGAAACGGTGCACCTGGTCACACACAAAGTGCTGGCAAACGCACCAAGAGCTGAGCAAACTGAGGGAAATATTTGTTCTCGCCCATCCTCCTGCTGCTGCGGCCGCAGGTGCTGTTTGCACAGCAGTGTTACGATGCTGACACAAGGCCTGTGTGACAACGGTGTCCCCTCGTGTCAAAGGGAAAGACGGAATCCTATTTGGGAAGAAGACGCCTGGTAAAACAGCTTTTCCGCAGCAGGCTGACCACAAGCACGGAGCCCCGTGTAGCCAGGGCTACAGAGCCCTGCACGGACCAATATACACACACGTAGGGGCGGGCAGCTGTCGGGCAGCAGGCTGGAGGCAGGAGGGGAGAATGAACGGCAGCGGGGCCGGATCCCGCAGCCTTGGGGATGGGGGAGCATCCAGAGTGCTGGCAGCAGGGCGCTGACGGTGCCCCAGCCGGGCGATGCGGCGCCCCGGGGCTCGGCGTGTCTATCGTGCATCGGCGTCCCAGCGGGCAGAGGACAGCGAGGTGACGGCGAGGCCCCAAAGCGCGGGGACACGGATGGGAGGGGACACGGTGTGCGGGGACAGGAGCGCCCGCCCGAAGCGGCGAGCCGGCAGGGCGGTGCGGAAGGCAGGGGGCGAAGGGAGGGCCGTGAAGGAAAGGGCGCGGGGAGGGGAGCGGCGGGCCGCCCCGAGGACCGACGGGCACCGCGATGCCGCCCGGAGGCGCGGAGGGGCCCGGCTGCGCTCCCGCCCCTGCCGCCGCCGCACGGGGCCGCTCGCACCGCCCGTCCGCGGGGATGGGGGGGGAGGGAGGCGGCCTCGAGCCGCGGGACCCCGGGGCCGGGCCGGACGGGAGCGGCGCCGCCGTTACCTTCCAGCGCCTCGAAGATCGCCTGCGCCATCTTGGAGCCGGGGCGGCCGCGACCCGACAGCCGGAGCGGGCATGGAGGGAGGAGGGAGGGGAGGCGGAGGGAGGGGCGGCACCACCCGCCGCCAGGGGGCGGCCTCCGCACGCCGCGTGAGCTCGGGCCGGGAGCGGGGCGCGCGGCGGGGCAGGGCCGGGCGCCGAGCCGCTCTCCCCGGCAGGGCACGGCAGGGGGCGGCCGGGGGGCGAACGGCGCCGCTCGCGGAGCGCCCGGCGGAGCTTTAGCATGGCACCGCGGAAGGCGCCGACGGCATCCCGGCGGCCGGCGCCGCGCTGAGGGTCGGGAGCGCCTCGGGACCCCCCTCGGGGCCGGCCGTGCCGAGCGCGGTCCCGACCTCTCCCCGGGGGCAGCGGCGCCTCCGGTTGGCCGCCGGCACGAACGGGCGAGTGGGACGTCGCCGCCTATTGGCCGGGAGCGTTGACGGACAGCCCGGGCAGCCCGTGCGCGCAGCGGGCGCGGCCCCGCCTCCCGGAAGCGTGCGCGCTGAGCGCTGCGGAGTGCCGGGCGGCACCATGGCGGGCGGCGCCGCTCCGCCGGCTGCGCTGCTCCGCGCCATCAACGCGCTCCTCCTGCAGCGCCGCTACCGCGCCGCGCTCGCCGTCCTCAAGGGCTTCCGCAACGGGGCCGTGTGAGTGCTGGGCGGCGGGGAGCGCTGCGAGGTCCGGGCCCGCACGTGGGGGCTGGGGAGGAAAGGCTCCGGGGTCGTGCCGCGCCGTGCCGCCGGGGCCGAGCGGCTTCTTCGTGCCCGCTGCTGTGTGCCGGCATCGCTCGGCGCTGTGCTGCTGCCGGGCCGCCCGAAAAGCACGGCCGGGATGCTCCTGTAGCACTGCGGGCTGTTGGTAGGATGGATGGTAGGATGGTCGTTTGATGGCGCGGTGTTAAAAACATCTCGCTTCTCGCTTTTGCAGGTATGGAGCAAAGATTCGTGCTCCGCATGCCCTGGTGATGACTTTCCTGTTCAGGAGTGGAAGGTACCGCCCTGCTTCTAAGTTTCTGCACTGCTCCCTGGGATGCTTCCATCCAGGCGTTAGTTATGCCTTGCTCCCATAGAGCCCACGTTTAAAAAGCAGAAAATAAGTTGGACGCATTCAGTGCACGCTGTTGTGTTAAGCAGGGTAACCTGTGTGTGCACACAGATGGATGTGCTGCTGGGAGTCAGTCACAGAATGGCCAGGGTTGGAAGGGACCTCAAGGATCATGAAGCTCCAACCCCCTGCCACACGCAGGGCCACCAACCTCCCCATTCAATACCAGCCCAGGCTGCCCAGGGCCCCATCCAATCTGGCCCTGAACACCTCCAGGGATGGACGGGGCATCCACAGCCTCTCTGGGCAGCTGTTCCAGCACCTCACTGCTCTCTGTAAAGAACTTAATCACTCATGCAGTGGTTGCTGAGGAGCAATGGACAGGTGAGAAATGAGCAGATGCAAACAGCAGCGGTCTGCTCTCCTCTGTGCTTTCATACAGGGGGCTGAGCTGCACCAGTGCCCATTGTGGCTCTTCCCAGTTAGCCAGAAATTTGAACTTAGATAAGAAAAGAAAAAAAAAGCTGGTTGGCTGTTTGTAGAATTGGACAAATGCAGAGTGTGAGGAGAGCTGGTGAGTGACCCAGAGTCAGTGATCCCTCCTCCCTCACAAAGCAGGAGATGTTTTTGGGGGGTATCAGAGCTGTTGATGTGGGTGGGCAGGCTGGAGGCATGTAAGATCCGGGCTGGTCACTGGCAATGCTGCCTTTTTGCTCTCCTAATTTTCTGTTTCTTTTGTTCAGTTTAAGAGAGAAATTGAAAGCGATTGCTCAGGCCACGTACACTCATTCCCGGAACTTGGCGTATTTTGTGTTCACCTACAAGGGGCTGATGGCGTTGCAGTCCCGACTACAGGGGAAAAAAATTCCATTTCATTCTTTCTTTGCAGCCTGCATTGGGGGTTGGTTAGTGTTCGGTGAGAACAATCCCATCAACAGCCAGGTAAATGTCTTTGCTGAACATTTTGTTGACAGAAAGACTAACAGATGGGTGGGTTGTGTGCCAGGAAGTGGTTGGTATAGCCTGGCCCATTTCTCCCTGTGCAGCATTACTTTTATAGTACAGCTCGTTGTACAAAGTTCTGTTTTTGACTGTTCTGTGCTCAGACACTGGAGGTGGTTGTGTGCCCCCATGGTGATGTTTGTAGTTTGAGAGCTAAACATCCTGGTGAACCTCCAGAGCTGCACTTGTATCTAGGAGGACAGGTTGGCAACCCAAAGCTGTGGGGTTACCCCACCCATCCTCTGCCCTGTGGTAACTGTGCTCAATCTGCCTGCTTGCAGAGCTAAACCCACAAGCTTGAGCTTTGTTGTGTGCAGAGAACGGTTGGTTGCAGAGCTGCACTTGACTAAATTGGGTAAACTGACAAAAGCTGCTCAGGGAAAGCTTGGTTTGAAGCTGCTTGTTACCAGCTTTCATTTGGGTCAATAAAACAAGTAGGCACAGGTGAATCACAAGTGTTCTACTTGCACAAGCCCCTGCTCTAAGACCATACCTTCAGTCGGGTTTTAGGTGGTGCCCAGAGTTCTGGGTTTGTATCTTGGCAGGCTAACAAGGCTGCTCTGTGGATATCAGCAGCAGCATCTGAGGTAGCTTTGATGAAAGTTGTGCAACTGATCTGCAACTGCAGAGATTTATTGCAACAGGTGTAATTTCTTGCTTACTAAACTAGAGCACTTACATGGCAGTAGGACTTGAAGAAGGTAGGCAAGGCACAGACATCTCCAGTTTGAGATGGCTTGATGTGTGAACCTACAGACTGTTTGCTGTTACACAGGATGAACTGTTTCTGCCTCTGTTGCACAGCTTATCACAGCTGCATCGCTCGCTCTGATCAGATTTACCAGCCAGGCTCTTTTCCTGACGTTCTCTGGGTTTTCTCTCCATGCAGATCATTATGTACCTGCTGTCTCGAATCCTGTTTGGCTTGTCTCGGCTGGCCGTGGAGAAGGGCTACATCCCACAGCCCAGGCAGGATCCCTTCCCACTTGTCGCTGCTCTGGTGTGGGGAACGGTTCTCTGGCTCTTTGAATACCACCGGCAGACCCTGCAGCCTTCTCTGCAGGCCTCCATGACCTACCTGTATGATGACAGCAATGTGTGGCACGACATTTCTGACTTCCTCATTTATAACAAAAAGCCTGAGAGCAAATAGTCGGCTCGTTGTACAACGGATGGTGCCTTCCAGCAGCTGAGGGAAAAGGTGGTTCTCTTGCTCTTGACTGATGAACGTGTTTAAATTAACACCTATCAAGGAGAGTTGCCTCTTGTGTCCTCATCAAAATATTCTTATTAATCTTCTGTTAGCTCTGTTTAGAGCTAGTAAATACCCCACGGAAACTTATTACAGTGCCTCAGGGAGAGTGAAATGCCTTGGGAACCTTCAGTAAAATCAGTCTTTTTTTAAAGAGACCTTATTTTTCTTTGGTTTTGTTTGCTTATTGCATTTCTTAAAAAGGAAAAAAAAAAAAAAAGCACTTTTAATAATGACAACTTGACAGTAAGTGGGGAATAGATCTAATCATGGAAGCAATGTTCTGGGCATTATCTGAATGTTTGCAAGGTGGAAGGGTTTTTCTGTGCTGCTGCACTCACTGTAGTGGTGAGATGGGATTTGGGGACCTGCTTGGTTCTGAAAGCAGGGATGTTTTTTCTTGATTTCTATGGAAGACAGGAAATCCAATACAAACCATTGCAGGGATAGTTGTGTTCTCCCTAGGAGAGTTCCTCTGCAGTTTTCTCTCAGGGGGACTGAATCAAACCATGAAGTCTCTCTGACACAAGCCCTGTAAATATTTTTGCTCAATTCTTCTCATGCACTTGGGATAAATCTCTCCCTCTACAGAGCACACTAATTAATACCCTGCAATTATTTAAAACTTTTTGCTCAAGCTTTTAAAAGCTGATTGAACTAAATACCAAAACCCCCTGTGCTACTTAAGGCTCCTTTGCAAACAGGCTGAGGCACATTGCCTGCCCTCAGATGGAGCTTTGGGTACTTTGTATGTAGCAGTGAGTGACACTTCTTAACAAGCACTTCCAGTTTGGTGGAAGATCACCTGGGTTACTCTTATTCATCAGAATTCCCCCCACCACAGCTGTGGGGTGCATTAACTGTGAGCAGACTTGGATGTCCCTGTTGTTACTGCAGTCTTGTTGCTGCACCATGGAGCGTGGAGGAACCAATGGGTCTCCCTTTTAAAACTGCACTGCTGAGTGCCAGGAGCAGCACACAGTGAGTTTTCACAAGGGCTGACCAGGCAGCTGAGAAGTGCTCCATTTCATCAAAAACAGCAGCTGTTTTAAAGTTTATACCATCAAACTGTTAACACTATGAATTACTGATACTGCTGTATGACCATTCACATAATGATGTGCATTAAAATAATTCCTGACACGCTGGTTTTATGTGGTGATATCGTAAGAATCATTAAGCAGCTTACTCTAATTTTGCCCTTTTGTCTCAGGCAGGACTGCTTTGTTTCCTCCTCTCTTACCTCCTGTTTTAGCTCTCCATTTACACATCCACTTTTCAGTCCCACTGGTGCTCATTTTCATCTCCTGCAGTCTCTCCTTTGCCCTCCAAGCTCCAGCAGTTTGTTGTATTCAATAGTGTGACTGGAGTGGTACATTTGTTGTGGTACCTTCCATCTGAAGATATTTTTCCTTCACATCTAAAGCTCTTTTCGTACTACTATGTATTTCTCAGTGCTGCTTTGGCCTTTTCATGTTCTTTGTCAACAAGGGGAGAGTGAGATGTTCCTTTCCTTGGTGTAAATGAACTTAAAGATTGAAGTACAGAAATGATGGAACTGTAGCTCAGTTCTGATTTCTTTATAAGTATCACACCTGGGCTCCACAGGAGGAGGTCTGAAGCAGCACTGCATCCAATCTTTATGTTGGATTAAATAAGATGGGATCCTTTGATGGGATTTGAGAAGATCATTCTAGAACCCAAGGGCCATAGCTTGAAAGTTTCTTCCTGGAACCATCAGACTAACAAATCTTTGACTGTGTGTAATTGAAGCACAGCACCCTGCAGGCTGCTCCTGTGAGCTGTTGTCTGTTAAAGGTTTTCAACCTTTTGACCTTACTGCTGCCATTCCTTTCTGGAGAAAGGCTTCTGATTCTCTTAAATGTGGACTGCTGTGCTTCTGCTGGTAGTTGTGTTATGGCTGCAGTCACACAGTGCTTGTGCAGCACTTCTCTGGCTCTGCAAAAGGTCAAGATCTGCTGTGCCCCTTCAATCACAGAATCACAGGATGGCCAGGGTTGGAAGGGACCTCAAGGATCATGAAGCTCCAACCCCCTGCCACACGCAGGGCCACCAACCTCCCCATTCAATACCAGCCCAGGCTGCCCAGGGCCCCATCCAACTGGCCTTGAACACCTCCAGGGATGGACGGGGCATCCACAGCCTCTCTGGGCAGCTGTTCCAGCACCTCACCGCTCTCTCTGTAAAGAACTTCCCCCTGATATCCAACCTCAATCTCCCCTCCCTCAACTTGAAACCATTTCCCCTCATCCTGCTGTTCTCTACCCTTTCCAAGAGTTGATTCCCCTCCTGTTTGTAGGCTCCCTTCAGGCACTGAAGGCTGCAATGATTCACCCCGCAGCCTTCTTTTCTCCAGGCTGAACAAGCCCAGCTCCCTCAGCCTGTCCTCATAGGGGAGGTGCTCCAGTCCCTGATCATCTCTGTGGCTCCTCTGGACCCTCTCCAACAGCTCCCTGTCTTTCTTGTTTTTGGAGCCCCAGACCTGCACACAGCACTCCAGATGCGGCCTAACGAGGTCAGAGTACAGAGGGACAATTACCTCCTGTCCCTGCTGGCCACCCCAACCCCACCGCAGTACCTCCATGCTCTCTAGATGGCAGAACGAAGCCAATAGCAGCGCTCTAGGATCAACCTGACAACAGCAGCCATCGGTCGTCCTTGCTTCTGATGCCCTTTTCCTCCTGCAAATCTCTTCCCAACGTCACTTTCAAAGCAAATTGCTCCTGAGGCTCCAACCATCTGTACTTGTGACCCAGGACCCAGCTGCTGTCCCTGGAAAACAAACCTCAGCTCATCCCAGAGCAGGGGCTGTGCAGTCATCAGCTGCGCTTTGGGACGGTTTGTGTTCCCGCTGCGTGCGGGCAGGACGTTAAGCTGCAAGTCACTTCTTTCCCCAGGGAAGTAATTGGAACGGTTCTTTAATGGCATCGGTCCGCATCGCTGTTCCTGTGACCAGATAGCTGGGGATGGAGCCCTTCTGCTGCCGATGTGTTGGAACAAAGCCGGCGTGTAGTAAAGAAGTGAACTAGAAGTAATTTGTCTGAGTCAGACTTTTGGATACAGAAGTGACACTCCCTGCCCTCCCCCAGCGCATTGTGTGAGGAGCTGAGCCCCCGTTTGTGTTCCTTTTTTTTTTTTTTTTATTAGCATTAAAACCAAAAGGAATAAAGAGGCAGTTGGGAAGCCACCTGCAAATCGGCCACACGCTCACAGATCACAAAGGGAGTGCAATTTTTCCCCCCAACCCCAATGGTTTTGAATATTAAGATGAACGTGTTTTTGTCTACATCAGCCTTATTTTGCCCCATTATTTTTTCCCAGGCACCTGACTCTGAGATGCTGAGTGCTTTAAAGAGGGACACAGCATCTCAGTTTTCAGCTCAGCCTGTCGAAAACAGAGTTGTGGATAAAAGTAGAGTGTTGGTTTTGAAACCGTGCTCCTCCTTCACATTTCAAGTCTCTTTTGCAGAGGTAATTTTAAAGGTTAATGAATGGAACTGATCAAAAGTTTTCACCCAGCATCCAATACCAGGCTGACTATCCTGAGCTATTTATCATTTATGAGCAAACAAAGCAAGCTCGGGGTTATTTACAGCACTGCGTGCTGCCCTGGTGTACATGCTGTGCTTCACTTCACTTTGGAAAACAGCTCCTGCATTACTGCTCTTCTTCAGGGTTACTGAAAAACCATCCCCAGGACAGCTTCAGTATTTAACAAAGGTGAAAGCTCAGTGGGTGTGTAATATTTGGTTTGGCTGAGGTACTGCATCTGATCCTTTCAGTTTAGGAGAGGGGAATTCTGAAAGGAAAACTGCAGAAGTTTGGTGTCAGTGCTGCAAGGCTTCCTTGCCCTGGTAGGGAGGTTTAAGCTCTAAATCGAGCTGGGTGGGAGCAGAAGAGAGGGGATGGTCTTTGCCTCCCAGAGCAGACTGAGAGCAGCACCCTGCGTGCCATTGGGAGCTGCCTGGTGCCAGTAGGGTGCTGGTAACCACTACAGATACCCTCTCTGGGAAGAAGCTGGTATGACGAAGCCCATTTTCACTGCATCAGCACAAATCTGACCTTTGGATACCATCCCAAGCTGTGAGCTGTTTCCTATTTGCCAGGCGGTGTTTGTCTGGATCACGCCAACCTGAGCAGACTGGCTTCCATTTTCTGTTGCTGGTTTTGCAATCCAGCAGATAAGGAGAGAAAACCAGGCGCAATGCCATGCAGTGTAATGTCTGTCTGCTGCTGTTAATATTTTGGGGGTGCTAATCTTGAGTTTTCAACCTGTATGTTCACACCAGATTGCTGGAGGAGGTCACTTTTTTTTCCTTACTTTGAATTTTCAACTCTCTCCTTTCCTTGTGAGGCTGGCAATAAGGAGGGGAATAATGAGTGCTTTGTAACACGGGGGTTGTTGCCTTTGCTTTTGGTCTCACTGTGTCTATTTCAGGTCCATAATTGCTGTGTGACCGAGGAACTGCATCTCAGCTGCTCAAACTGGGGCTGGGATGGACAACTGGCAACGTGTGCAAACTGGATGCACTCAGGGAGAGCAGGAATGAACACAGCTGGCTCTTGCATTGCAGCCTGAGAAGTCAGTATGGGCTGATGTGGTTAGAGGGCAAACTGCTCCCCGGTGCCTTGCAGCCTATCACTGACACGTGCAGGTGCTCTCAGAGAGCGTGCAACCGTTCAAAAAGACACGAGCCTGAGTGTGCCTCTCCCATTAGCTAAGGAACAGAAGTACACATGCAAATGATTCGGGTGCTGCTTCAAAGCCGAGCGCCACAGAGGAGATATGTGGTAGAGGTGCGAGCTGTGGCAGTGGAGGTAAAGGCAGCCCTGAGCAAGGAGCTCCACGTGGCACAGGGAGCTCCAGGAGCCCCTCGGGGAGGGGAGCACTGAGCAGCTCCATCATCAACCCTGAAGAAGCCAGACCAACACCTGGGAGCTGATTTCAGCCTTATCTTCAGATGTTTGTTTTTCCCTTCATATTGTACCAAGCCATATTTCCTTCCCAGGTGAAGCTCTGAGCTGGTGCCTCGCCCACCCTCTGGCTTTGCAGTGCCAATGGCTGCGCTGTGCACCTGCTGGGAAGTGAGCTTGGGCTGGGCGAAGTCACAGAGTCCAAACACACTGCTGTGCGA